GCTTAAATCTAAGTATTGCAGCCAATAAAATTTTTAAACGTATTTTTATCCAATTGAAAAAGAGTTGCACCCGCTTAACGTAGTATTATCTCCGATCCTTAATATAAGAGTTAGTTTGAGTATTAATTTGGTCTTAATTATAAGACCTCGATTCATTATATTTCTAATATATTCATTTTTTTAAAGTAGTCCTTGTAATAGTTGTACATATTGAAAATTCTATCAAATAGTAATTATGACTAATACACATGATAAATAAGGAAGGGTATTGTAGGAAAAACAAAGTATAATTATTACAAATAACTAACTTAATAAATTTTTTTAATCTATTTAAATTAGTCAACTAACTCTTATATTAAAGATCAGTCGTAGATTTTTTTTTTAATTCCCAACAAACAGGAGAAATGTCAAGTATGTCTTTGTCCCATTTCCGGATAAACCACGTGATGCTCTCACCCTGACATGGGCGGCCACATGCGTGTTAAGAGGTTTCAATTGCGGTTTACAAATTTACTTGAATGCGCTGATAATAATTTCACGGTGTGATTGAGCGGTAAGGGACTCATTCTTTCTTAAATAAGATTGGGAGTTCAATCCTTCCTTGAACATGGGAAACGTTAAATCTCTTGACCAGCTATTATTTTAAAGATGGCCTGTCCTAGGATATCGGATGTGAAAGCAAAAAAATAATTTCAAACAAATATGGTGTGGTGACAAATCTTTGTGCATTAGGCTTATTACCTTAGATGGGAAAAAATTGAAGAAGAAAAAATATTATGAGGGAAAACTCTTACAAATGGTTTTTTTTTTTTTACTATTTTGAGGAGTTTTTCTTTATAGCATTTCCATTTTTTTTATTTTCTTCTCATTTTTTCCATCCGAAAATGGCATTAAATTCGAGGTTATAAAGTTCCAAACAAACATAGCGTGTTCATGAGTGGGATAGTGATTTGTTGTTTGACTTGAGCTGGCCAATGCGATCAAAATATTAAATTAAAAATTAAAGGATTAAAAAAATAAAGTAGATTTATTAATAGAAAATTGCCGTCGTCCCAAATGCATGTTTGAAAAATAATATAGGACCAACAGTAACATTTTCCCCTATAATTATGGATACTCAATAGTTATATATTATTTTTTTGCATAATATATTAAGATAATAAATTAATATAATATTTTAAATAAAATTAAAGGACTGAAATCCCATAAGTGGTAATATGAGCCGCCCCACAGGTTGCGAGTTAACGCGTGAAGAGTTAGAATTAAACAATACGAATTAGAAAGGCCCAAGTGTCAATGATATGATTTTTAGCCTCTTATAACCCTCTATAAGGAGTCGAAAGGTTGGCCTGTGCATCTCATCATTATTTTTTTTTTGTAAAAAATTGTTTTTTAAATATTTTATACAATATAAATAAAATATAATGAATTTTTTGTTTTTTTCTTCAAATACTTTATATTGAAAACATCAAATAAATGATATAGGATTTTTTTAATTTCAAAATAGGATATAAAATATAATAATATAACTATAATAATTAATAAAAATAAATAGATGCCGGTTAGGTTATGGTTTAGTAGACTAATCTACGACGGGTTGTAGGTTTAATTGAAAAGTCTCATCTGATAGTGTGTTGGCTTTTTTTTTTTTTTTTCCTTCTTGCTAAAGCATAGGTATCATTCAATTGGAAGTAATCCTATTCGATGCACTGTCAGGCACTAAATGTGGGTACTTCTCCTAGTAGGGATTCGAAATTGAAAAGTCTCATCTGATAGTGTGTTGGCTTTTTTTTTTCCTTCTTGCTAAAGTATAGGTATCATTCAATTGGAAGTAATCCTATTCGAGACACTGCCAGGCACTAAATATAGGTACTTCTCCCGGCAGGGATTTGAACTTTGGTTTATCACGTTGTGAGAAACTAACCCTTTCTACTAAACCCAACCCTTATTAGTAGTGTGTTGGCTTTTAATGAACCCGATCTCGTCATTTTTGACGGGGTTGATGGATTGACTTACTGGCCCAACTCATGTTATCAGCTGATATTAATAATAGTAAACCCAAGATATCATGTGACATACATTATATAATAGTAATAATACTGTAGGATTAATTGTTATTTATAAGAAAATTTAAAAAATACGAATCAATATATTTGGGCTGGGTTGATCAAACAACATCTTTTTTTCCCTTAGCCCAATCTAGCATACGAATTTCGGCTCATTATGGATTAGCATGGTGAATAGGATCGGGTTTGTTAGACTAGTTAACCAAACCTATACGCCAAAACTTAAGGATTTAATATATTTACAATAGATGACGCCCAAAGTTCTCTTGAGCTGTGTTTGGATGGAAGGAGATGTGAAAAGGGGGAAAAAAACGAGAGGAGAGAATATTAGGAACAAAAACTAAAAAAAAAAAGGTTAAAAAATACTATTTTTGAAAATTTTTCCTCCTAGTATTCTTTCTTCTCTAATTTTTCCTATCCAAGGGTAGGATGAGGGAATTTCATAGCAATATATAGCGATTGCTCCTTCATGGCTTACAAGATGACTTAAAATGACGTTTCCTTTTTTTTTTTGGAAAAAAAAATTGCCACATTATAGGATTTACAAGCTTTATACTAAGGACTTAAAATGAGATTTAACCTTGATTTGATGTAGGGAAATTCTAGCGATTGCTCCTTTATCAGAGGCTTCTAGTATTAAGATGGGACAAGGCCTTTATTTTGGAGTATTGTTTTGCACAGGACATCTTTGGCACGCGGAACAAAATTTGGCACTTTACGCAAAGATATGGGAGGGGCCTACTTCATGGGCCATTCATGTCTCTATTTTGTGTCCCCATCAAAAGTTCCTCAAATGCGATTATTGTTTAGATCATCTTTTGTTTCCACGCTCATCTTGTTATCCAAGCATACCAGTTCTTTGTTTTGTTGTCTGAGTTCCTATAGGTAGGAACTTCGCTTCATCCCTTTCATGATATTGAGCTTGATTCAGCTTTTACCTTGAGGAGTGAGGAGTTGTGCAAAATTATTATTGGAATATATCAACAATTATGTGAAGATACAAAATTCATGAAAATCTGACGATGAGACATATTATTTTACGATGGATACAATAATTTTTGCATATATCATTGGTATGACAGTATATGAAAAAATATGTGATACTGTTACAGTCCATGCATGCGGCTCATAAAATAGTAAAATTTAAATGAGAATTAAATTCTTGGATGATCTAAGATGCTAGAAACATATAAAAGAGAATCATTTAATATATAAAATGTTATGTGGATTAAAATTATCTGAATATGTATAATTGATTCGGAAGAGATAAGAAATGAACAGTTTCACATTTTACTTGACATTTAGATCGAACAATTGAATGCTTCAATAGTTTTAAAATCATGAACTCATGATGATTTTGTCTACAAAAATGCATTCAATTTAATAGATCAGAAACCTCATGTATTTATTCTATAACTATATTTATATATTTCTTGATGTTGCATGTTATATATAGGCTGATTAGCAAAATTAAGTTCCTACAAGTACACAAATGGATAATGAAATCGAGATTTATTGTGATAGTTATGAAACTATTATATGAGATCATATTATTTAGAACAAACTGAATATTTAGATGCAAGACATATTTTGCTGATTTCTTAAATAATTTTTTGTTGTTACTTGTGTATATTGATAATTCAATATATTCAGAAGATATGTTAGAAGAATATACTTAAAAATTTTTGTATAAATGACAAAACATCATGTGATATTATCACCAAAGATAAATAAAAATTGTGCTGTGCTTTTTTTCTCAATCAAAATTTTATTTCATGGGGGTTTTTCTAGTTATGGTTTTTAGCGAGACAACTTCAACACATATTATGTACTTTTCCCCTCCACAGTAACAATATAACAAATTTTTAATGAGGCACAATATTTATTTATGAATATTTAAGAAATAATGTTTTAAATACTAGCTTACGCGGATATCTATAAACTCTCCCAACTCTCAACCTTTCATATTTTACACTCCATAAACTCTCCAATGAAAGAATTTTTGGAATTTTTACTTCTCAACTCATAGGTTACATATTATGCACAGATGCAAACTAATTTTTCTGTTTATTTTATGTAAATTTAATAAAGGTTAGAGCTCTATAAATAAAAAGCTGCAGAATGTTCTCAGTGAATAAGAATAATTACGTATTTCTACTACAATATTCTTATTTTTGGTCAAAAAATTTACTTTTCTTATTTTCATAACATCTCATTATTCACGTGAAAATTATATGTTTTTTATAAGAAAAAACCATTTTGAAGGTCTCTATATTTTTTTCTTAATTTTTAATTTAGTACCTATGTATTTTTTTTCTTAATTAAATATTTAATTTTACTCTATTAATATTGTTAATTATTGCACAAAGACTACCAATGCTAATAGGACAAAGTTACAAGAGCTAGTTTTGCTCAATAAATGATTTAATTGAGAAAAATATATGAGTACCAAATTAAAAATAAAAAAATGTATAGGTATTTCCAATATGATTTTTTCTATAAAATCATAAATCTTAGTTCTTACAACTGAATCAAAAGGGAAAAACATAATGGAGGTATCTCTCAATGTTTAATTTGGTATTTATATATATTTTTCCTCTTTTGACTAAATTATTTAATTTTATTTTTTTGGCAACATTAACTCTTATAATTTTGTTCTATTAATATTTTTAGAATGAAATATATAGGTATAAGTTTTTTTTCTGGATCAAAATATAAAGGCGTTGGAGGGCATTTTTTAAAACAGTTTTTTGGGGTGAACTAATGCATCCCCGGCTAACAAATTTGGGCCTCGAGTAATGACGCACCCCCAAAAAAAAACCTGAGAACGAGATCATCCCGCTGCCACGTGTGCTAAGGGGTATTTTAGGCATTATGCTTGACAAAATCTTAATTTCATTATCGCTTTTCAAGCCATTCTTTTTCCCCAAAAAACTCTAGGCAGAGTACGTGATAGCGGAGCGAAAATTTCCGGGGAAAGAAAGAACCCTAGATAACCAGTTTTTTTAGTGCTCCCTTCCGAAACAATAAGCGAAGAGAATAATTGCCCGATTTCTCTATCTTTTGCTGTTTTCATTTTCTTCGCTCCTGTTTTTCGACGAATCATTGTGGCTGTTCATTTAATTCTGTTTATGTTTCGGTAGCTACTCTGTTTTAGATTTTCTTTTTGGCTGTTTTCAGGCGACGAAACGAGTTAGGGGTGGAGTAGAGCATTTATTTTGGGGAGTCTAATCTCAGCGTGTATCTGCGCCGGTTTCTTTTTACGTCTCTGTTTCATCTCCTCTTATGATGGGTTTTGTGTTGTGAAATTAGGGTTTCTCATATATCTGCTCTTTCCCCCCATACGCAAAGTGTGGCCTTTGCTTGCAACAAAACTGTCATTGTAAGTGTTTCAATAATCCTGTCAGGATCCCGGTTTCTAATTCTTTTATTCTTCGTCAGATAAAATGCTGTGTGGTGTTTCAACAATATCTCCGAAATAATTGGTTTGTGCGATACAATAATCGTATCCCTGTTAAATGTTGTGCATTTCCTGATATTGCACGGTGGGCAGTGGAAGTTTCATCTGCGTGATAATTGTTTAGTGAAATCCCCTCCGCTCCCCCCCCACCCCCAAAAAAAACCTTTTTTCTACTCGGTGTTATCTTGACTTTTCCACTCTGAGTTTATCTAGTTAATATCTTGGAAACATTTTGAAGTGTGTGCTGAGGGATATTTTCCTTTGTAATACATGCTATGACTTGGGGTGGATCTGAATAAAGAAAGCTGTAAAAAATCTGTCAAGGCAAATGAATTGTGCATGTAAAACATTCTGTCTTTAGTTGGATTGTTGCTCTGTAATGTACCGGCTTGCCCACACTGATGTTAGGTTCAAAGTTGCAGTCAATTTCGAAAGGATGGCTTGAATCATTGAATGCCTGTGGTTCTGTTATGATGTGTGAGAATTTGATTTCTCTGGTTTTTGTTGCATGCTCGTGGTAATATTTTTCTGGTAATTTCAATGTCTTTTATTTAGGAAATTACTTATTTTTAGCCTTATTCTTGTAGCGTTTGATTCTTTCTCTTGTTTATACTAATGTATGCCATCATCTGCTGCTTATTTATTTATTTATTTATTTTTTAAATTGAATAGTTGTGTTTCCTGTAGTTGATTGTGCATAACATTTCATTGCTGACTACAGGTTACTGAAGGTGAGTTGTATTTGGATATAATGTCATCAAGATATCCAGTTCTTGACAATCGACCCATTGATCAGTGGAAGGTTACAGAACTGAAAGAGGAGCTGAAGAGAAGGAAACTACCTGTAAAAGGTTTGAAAGATGATTTGATCAGGCGTTTGGATGAAGACCTTCGCAGGGTGGCTGCTGAGGCCTCTAAGAAGGATGATGCTAGTGGAGCTGATCTTGATCCTCAGCCAGTAGGTGGGGCAGAAGAGTCACTGACGGGGACTACAGTTGCCAAAATAGTTAATACAATTGAAACAGGAAGTGACAAAGCAATTGATACTGCTGAAAGGGGAAATATTTGTATAACTGAACCAATTGAAAGGGAAAACAATGAAAAGATTACTGAGGTTGTCGGTATCGATTGCAATTATAATGAAAAACTGGATGGTGTTTCCACCCCAGTTGATGCCAATGTTAGTGTGCCAGTCATGGATCAAGAAGTTGCACCTAAGGGCTTGCCTGATGGTGGAGAATCTAAGATTGGGGATGAGGAGCAAGTCACTCCTAGTTCTACTGTGGAGCCTGGTATTACTGTCAGCGGGAGTGTTTTAACAGAAGAAGTAGCTAGTTGTCAGGATTCTTACAGAACTGAAACACAAAAGGAGAATGGGGACTCAGCAGCCAAGACGGAGAATGAGGAGTCAAATGTTCGGCTAGAATCTGAAGATCAGAAGTCCCAACCGGAGTGTGACATAGAGCCCCAAAGCATGGATCTTATGGTGCACTCTCCTGCTCCAAAAAATCAGGTATCTGAGGTCAACCCTAGTTTAGGGTCTCAAGTAAAATCTGATTCTATTTCTAGTGATTCTGTGTCAATTAATGAAAAGAATGAACTAAAGGATAATATAATTGCTGATAATGTTAAATTAGAACAAGATAATGTTAGGCCAGAGGTGTTGGAATCATCATCCAACAATGTTGTCCCTGTTTGTGATGAGACATATCCTATGGATGTTGGAGACCCACCCAAGGAAAAGGCATCCCTTGAAGAGAGGAGCAATAATATTACAAGTTCAGACTTAAACAAGACCAATGGCATTGAAGATGCTGGGTATCTAGAAAAGTTAAACTTAGACAGAAGTTCTGGTGAAGATTCCATGGAAGAGGATTTGCCAGAGAGTAAGCAATTTGATTCTAAGTTACATGATGCGGAACTTAGAAACAAGATGGAGAATAGTGAAGTGCCTATTGTGAAGGAGGAAAGTGATAGTAAAGATGTAGGAGATGTTGTATCTGCAGGAAAAGATTTTACCCACCAAGACAGTGATATGCATCCTGCTGTCTCTGTTGAAAAAAGAAAATTTACTGGTAAGCTTTTCTCTCATGATCTTTATTGTTACATTTATCATCCGCACTGAACTTCTGACCATTGTTCTTGTGCTCTTTTTTGCTTTATATTTTAATTTTGTGTTATGTTTAATTGAGAGGAGTAATAGTTAATACTATTTGATTCCATGTGGAGATTAATCCTCGGACTTAACTCATATTTCATAATGTAACTAATTTAGTTTTCTACTTCTGAGCATCCAAATTCATATATGATTTCCCTATATGCTTTGGGAGGTTTCTGTGAGGCTAGTAACGCTAATTTATTTCCTTCCTCATCTCCCAATTAAACTATTGTTCTTGTTGTGTATACTGAAATTCGTCTACTATATGTGGAATATATTTTGCCAGCTGAGACACTGCCTTTACCGGTATTTAAAATAAATGACTAGGAAACTTCCTTATTTATTTATTTCATAGTAGCAAAAAAGTTTAGTATTATTTTGAAATCGTGTCACAGATCATGCGTTACCTGGGAACAATGAGCCTGCCAAAAGGGTACGGCGGTGGAACACTGAAATTGCTAAAGCTCCAGCTCCACAAAGCAGTGGTCTCACTTCTGCTACTACTCCCAAGGATGAACCAATTGCTTTGAAGCGCAGCTTCTCTATGTCTAATTCTTCAGCAGTTGATGAATCACCGAGAGAGCGCATTGGTTAGTGGGCAATTTGTTGGTTCGATATGAAAATTGTGATTGACTTGTTCTGTTTGATGCTTGGATTAACAAATTTTATATTTCAGCTGGATGCTTTCATATTTTGATTCTGGATGCATGCATTTCAAAGCGCACTATTGTCCGATCTTAGATGCTTCTTGAACTCATTCCCTGAATATTTTTACTCGAAGTTGAATAAGCACTTATTATCTTATTAATTATCATGCCCCTTTCTGCTTACTTGATTATGTTGTTTGTGCCGCGCTGCGTGTGATGCCTATGTGTAATATGCTTCCTTATTCTAAATAGCTTAGCTTTGATCTTTGGCAGTTCCACCGCCAGAGAGATCCCCGACAAATTCCCTAAGAATTGATCGGTTTCTTCGTCCTTTTACTCTCAAAGCTGTGCATGAGCTTCTTGGTAAGACTGGGAAAGTCGTTAGTTTTTGGATGGATCAGATCAAGACCCATTGCTATGTCACTGTATGACTTTGTTCTCCTTCTCTCTCACCCTCTCATCCCTCCATTTTTCTTCTACCACTGTATGGCTTCTTCATGATACAGTTGAGTAATTTGTGTTGGTTTCTTGTTGATGCAGTATTCTTCAGTGGACGAAGCCATTGAGACTCGAAATGCTGTGTATAACCTCCAATGGCCGCCTAATGGTGGACGCCAATTACTTGCTGAATTTGTTGAACCTGAAGAAGTGAAAATGAAGGTAGAGGCTCCTCCTGTTCAGGCTGTCTCGGTCAGTAGTGCTCCTGTAGTTCCTCCCACCCCACCTACCTCACAGCCAGAGCCTTCTCCTCGTCGGCACCAGGAGCAGCGGCCAGTTCCAGCTACTCTTCCACCTCCACCACCTTTGTCCAAACCGCCACCAGCAGCTAGAGAACGGCTTCCATCCCCACCACCCCTTCCAGAAAAGGTTGACCCACCCATTGTTACTCTGGATGATCTCTTTCGCAAGACTAGGGCAACACCTCGCATATACTATTTACCTTTATCTGAAGAGCAAGTTGCTGCAAAACTTGAAGCTCATGGTAAAGTTACTAAGCAGTAGGAAGAGTTCTCCCCTGGATTTTATTGATGATTGCATGGAAGTATAGCTGGGTGCTTCTTGGCAGCTCTGCAGGTGTATCTTGGGAGGGAATTGGGATTTGCCGATGCGAATATGTATTTGGCTTTTGATGGGTTTGGAGTTTTCCCAGTTGATCTGTTTGTTGGGCTTATATAGATCTAGTGTTAGAACCGCCAAACTAAGAGCTTGTTGATCTCGTAGATTTTTCATTTGGTTTGAACATCCGCCTGAATGCTTTTAGTTTTTTAATTTTCTTACCGATCAACTGAACTGAAATTTAGCTAGTTGTGGTCTAGTCCTTCAAGGAGCATTTTATTATTTGGAGCAAAATGATTAATGGGAATGCAAGCTGAGGAGGGAAGAAATACTGATGGGATGTTGTAATATTAATCAAACTCATCGTTCGAAAAAAAACCAAAAATGATTTTCGTTATCTGGAATAATCACACACACGCCCCCCCCCCCCCCCCCCACACACACACACACAATGAAAAATTTGGTCATACAATCAATTGCTTATAAATGATTTAAAATATGTTAGGGTAAGTCCAAGCATAACCTTCCTCATTATTCTCTTTCAGCGTTTCCTTTTCCTCCTTTCTGTCTTTAGATTTTCTTTTTGGTACAAAAATTTTAGGAGGGGAGTTGGGTCCCTCTCTTCAGATTTGAATCTTAATTTCATTTTGAGAAGTCTCTTTGGGGGAAAAAGGATCATGGAAGAGATGTTAAACTAATCTCCCCTCTCTGCAAAACCTTTTTCACACTTTGTTTTAGAGACTGTAAACTGAGTAAATTCTAAAATTGGAACTACAAGCGATCAGCCGATCACGGAATAGTTTCTAGCATCCGCTTAGGCCACAATTACTCTTCCTGTCTTCTTGCTCAAGCAATGTTGTTTATAACTTCATGTGTAATTCAGTACAACTCATTCAACTAGCATGTGCAGGTAGGAACAATGTATTTATTAATTTTGAATGATATGCTGAGTATTTAGTTACTTTGTTTTCAAGATAAAATATTTATTAGCAAGTAACAGAGATTTAGAGGTTTTTTTTCCGTTAAGGTGTATTCAGCATCCAAAATATTTTTCTGGATGCACTTAACATCAAAAAGTATTTTATAGTATATCTAGTATTTTGAAATAATTTTTTAAGTGCACCTAGTATATTAAAGTATTTTTTAATACATCCAATACTTTAAAATATTTTTTACATGCATCTAGTATCTAAAAGTATTTTTTTGATGCCCTTAGCACTAAGAGAAAAAAATATTTTAGAATACTGGACATACAAGAAAAATATTTCAGAATAGTGACTGTATTACAAAATACTCAGGGGTACTGCATTTTTTTTCAATACGTGTTGTTTTTATTTGGTCTCCAATTTTTCTTCCATAAATCATCAAACTATTTTTATTTGAGAAAGAAAGGAAGGGAAAAATACTCCTTGGTAGACTGTAGCGCAGTGTCGGTACTGTGCAAGCATGCATCTATCCTGCGCCGTTTAGACACCTTGCATAGTTTGCGCCAAATGGGAGAAAACTCAAACCTCGCACTTCCTTCGGCTTCTTGTTCCTCCTCTTTTTCTCTGGGAGCTCGTTCTCCGTCAATCTCTTCTTTACGTTGTGAGACGCATCTATCCTATTTTTATCGTGTAAATTAATTATTTTTTCTGTAGGGTTTTCCGAAGTCGACCTCCTTTCGTCTAAATCAACTAGAACTCACCAGAACAGCTTTTTCCCTCTGTTTCGTCTTAGAGTTTCTGTGATTTGTCAAAAATGTGGTAGCTTCTATCCGCGCTAATTTTCTAGCATCGTTGAAGTTTTGTATTTCTGCCCAATTAGTCATCCATGCTCTGCATTTGCTCAGTTTTTGAGATTCGTTGGCTTTGTGCCGAAGTTTCTCTTGGCTTGGTCTTGGAAGCTCACTAAGGTATGCTTCGAGTAACTTGGCAATTTTTGGCTTCGTTTCAATTCTGTTCTAGGGTTGTTGGGTCCCAAAATCAGAATTTGTTCTCTTCTCTTTTCCCATAATTTATGCTAGTTTCCGTAGGGTTTGGCTTATACTGTTTCTGGCAGGGACTGGCTGGCAGGTAGATTGGGAGCCTTCTAGAGTTGAGATGAATAGCGTGTTTAGTGAACAGATTCTTGCGGACAAGCTGTCGAGGCTTAACAGCACCCAGCAGTGTATTGAAAGTATCCATTCATTGGGTTCCTTGTGCTTGATAATCTTCTTTTCTCTTCCTCCTCCTCTTTGATAAACTGCTTTTATGGTTCTGTTAATCGACTCGCCCATCTGGCTCATATAATCTTGGGATTTGGAGGTGTTTCGGATATCTTATGGGTTAATTAGTTTATCTATATGTATAAAAATTGTTAATAGAATCATGTGACATTTATAATTGCGCTAGGTTGGCAGTTCAAATTTGCATCCTGGCACGCTTAATGGTCACCATAGCAGTAAAAGAGGCTGTGGTGCCTATCCTTTTGTCTTTTTGCTGTTTTTGGGGAAAAGTTCCTTTTTTTTTTTTTGTGGGTTGGGGGGGGGGGGCTCTTATAGCAGGAACCACCAGAACAGCCATGTCATTCTGCCATTTCAGCTCCATTGAGTCGACAGCGTTAGTTTAAATATCATTTCTTCAATCATATTGCATTCATATGGATCTTGTGTATGGACATCTTGTTGTTTTGTAGGAATTATTATCTTGTTCAGTACTCCCTCCGTTCCTTATTATAAGAGACGAATAACCGAATTACGTTGATCAAAAAAGCAGTTAAAATTAGTTAAGAACAATCAATGTGTAAAAAATATAATCTTTTTTTCCAAAAATACCCTCATTAATAAGGAGAGAGAGCATGAGAGAGAACAATTAAATTATTGAAAGAAAGAGAAGTGGGAGGGAGAGAGAGTGTGAATTGGAGACAATAAATATGGGTAAAATAGGAAATTAATACAAAAAAGTAGAGACAACTTTTAAGTGTCTCTTATATATAGGAACATGTCATAAGCATCAAATGTCTCTTATAATAAGGAACGGAGGGAGTATTATGTGGTTTAATTAATTGCTTATACATATTGAAATTGTTTGCGCAACCACGTGGAATTTATAAATACGCTAGGTTGGCAGTTCAAAATTGCAATCATGAGTCTAAAAGTGTGATGTAGTCCTGTCATGCTGGTAGATTACTTTGGTAAACAAGTTTGATTTAAATCATTTTCGTCAATGGCATAGAGTGGCAAGCCGGAAAAAGACTGCAGGTGATGGCCAATGCTGCCATGGTAGCTGCCGAGGAATTTTTTCATATTTTTGGAGGGAGAGGCGGAGCAGGAAGTGTTGGAATTGCCATTATCACTCTGCATTACCATGAATTGTTCTGTGCTATAAAAGTATCACTTCTCATTGCTAATTCAGCTAGTTCTTCTCTGAAACTCATTTGTTTTTACCCACAAGTTGGTGTCACAACGAGAGTGCTACACTTCTTTTTTGGTCAGTTGAGCAACATTCCCTCATTCCACTTGTCCGTACTCCGCAACGGAGCCTTAGTAGTTTTAGTAGTAATGATGGTCAATGCTTTTCCTGTCAACTTGATGCTTGTTATGCTTGACTAAGTAGCCTCTAGACTAAGATCTCTTCCAATTAAAAGCTGCCAGAACCATTCTAAGGTAAGGGTTATGGTTTCCATAGTAAAATGCCACAAGGTAAATCTTAACGACTACGCCTGCCTAATTTAGTTTTCAATGGAATGGAGCAATGATCTGGGGTGTACCTGATCTCCTAATCTCCTTTCTACCTGATGGATCATACCTTGGTGTGATTTCTGGGTGTCATTTTTTAAAAAAATCTTCAAGAGAATAAAGACGAACTTACATTAGGCATAAAACCACCAGAAGAATTCTTGTACAGAAATGGCAATGCCACTATAGTAGGAGCCATACGTTTGTGTCATATATAATACAAATGAACGAATATAATGGGTGTTGCTCTAGTTAGAGACTTGTGGCAGAAACTTTTATAATATTATCTAAATTGCAGACTTAAATAACACTTGTGATGATCAATGATCCATATTCAAAGGAGCTTTGATAAGTTGATGACAATTTCATAATGTTTTGTGTGATTAGGATAATCATGTCTATTCATCTATGAGCATGTAGGATTGTTTCAGTGTGAAGTTCAATGGAATATTTCCCTCGCCTTGACCTTTTAAAAAGTAGTTTTTTGTCATCTTTCTAGTGGCATTTATTCTTGTACGTGCTTTTTGTATATTGCTCTCTGTTTTCTTTAATATACACAATTAATACCTTCTATGGATTCCACTGTTGATCAGATTTAATAATATTGTCCAATGGGAAGAGAGCGTTTTGCTAGTGCAGTCCTAGTTCATGGAGACTGGAAGTATTATCCATAGTGCTTGAATTACTTGATAGATTGAAGATCTTTTGAGCATCAAATTTTGTTGTTATAATTGCTTGTTGAAATGCAAATAGGTGCATTTTTATTGGTTGTTGATGTTGCATAGTTTGTTATCCTTAACTTTTTGGTTTAGCTTTATCACATTGGTGTATATTTCACCGGAGTAAAGCAGAATTGGTTGTTGAAACATGGAATAAACAATTCCACAATTCAGAGATGGTTCAGAGGGTGCCCCTTCTATACCTTGCAAATGATATTTTGCAGAACAGCAAGCGGAAAGGAAATGAATTTGTGACTGAGTTTTGGAAGGTTCTTCCTGCCGCACTTAAAGATGTTATTGAGAAAGGTGATGATCATGGAAAGAACGTGGTATCTAGATTGGTAAGTCTATTTTCCATGGTTTGAAGTAATTATTGAGCCCATACGACAGTCACAGCCAGTCAAAAGGGAATGTGTGGGTGGAAGATTTGAGTCTAAAGTGTTTGTGGACTTTTACTTATGCATGGGCTATACCCTCAGATATGTCTTATGAATGGTGACAAAGTGATTTGAACACCATTATCCTGAGTCAGGCTGTTTGATTGGTTAATTTGGATGCTCATTCAACATTTAGGTTGATATATGGGAGCAAAGGAGGGTGTTTGGATCTCGGGCACGGAATCTTAAAGATGTAATGCTTGGAGGAGAAGCACCGCCACCATTGGAACTCAACAAAAAGCGATCTCGTTCTGTAAGAATTATGAAAAGGGATTCTCGCTACATTAGAACGGTTAGATTTTGGACCTTTCTGACTTCTTTTTCCTCCAGTTTCTATATCTGTTTAAATATTTTATTGTGTCATTCGACTGCCATTATTTTTCCATAGCTCACTTTTTTTTTTTGGGAAGCCAGAAATTGTCCATTGGAGGTGCAGCAGAAAAAATAGTCTCTGCATTTCATTTGGTGCTCAGTGAACAAATGAGTGAAGATGCAGAGATGAAAAAATGCAAGTCTACCGTTCAGCGTGTAAGAAAGATGGAGAAAGATGTTGATATTGCATGCTCTGTTGGTAAGTTCAGAGGGTATTATGGTAAATCAACGTTGTGAAATTTATGATTCTAATCTTCCTTTCTTTATCAGCAAACGATCCAAAGCGAAAAACTTTGGCAAAGGGACTAGAGGAGGAAGAAACTCTCTTGAGACAATGCATTGAAAAACTTAAATTAGTTGAAGCCAGTAGAGTAGCGCTTGTATTGCAGTTAAAAGAAGCTTTGCATGAGCAGGTTTGTTATCATGTCCTTCTGCTTAAACTCCTTTATGTGATCCGCACTCACCTGGCTTCTGGTTGGCACCAAGCTCTAAACGTCAATTTCTTGCAATCCTTTGTGGATTTTTGTCTCAGGAATCTGAATTGGAGAATATTCGTACTCAAGTGCAGGTGCGTAACATAGTATTCCTTCTTACAGAAGGCTGTCCTGTTTTGATCAGTCTCTTGTTGGGTTTGATACGCATTGAACATGTATTTCGGTTTGGCACCATTTGATTGCTTCACTAAATTCCTCTTCTGGCCAACAGTAGTTGAATTTTAAGAGCTACCTTGGTGAAGGTCTCATAATCAAGATAACAGAAAATAGTAAAATTATTAAAAAATTTAGTTTTGGTTGAAGATGCTCTGAAATCATTGTTGTATAGAATTGGCAGCTGGCTATAGATAATTATGCAGTGGTATTCAGAATTATGAACATTGAGTTCCTATCTCCATAGATTTTGTATCTTGAGTTAGTTGATAAGCACGGCTGATTAGATTTTGATTGTCTAAAGAAAACTAGATAATTGCTTGCCTTTCATTTTGATATTGATTGTGGAGATCCTTGCCTGCAGTACAACTGCACATGTCCATGGTACATGTAGGGTTTTACCTACGAGGCTGAATGCTTGACAAACATCAGTCTTTTGTGGATCCGAGTTTGAAATTATTCTGTTCTAATAGCATTTGATGCCATCTATAACTTGTTGATATTGCTTTCATTGCTACTGCAATTTGAGATGCTTTTGTTGCTATTGATGCTAACATATACATTGTTCACTGTGCACTGATACAATTCAACTAATATGAAGGTAGCAGAAGCACAAGTTGAGGAGGCTAACAACATGAGGAAACGACTAGACGATGACAACTTTGTGCAGAAAGCATCTTCTTTGGCAACCGATGCAAATACGAAATCTGAAGCACCAAATAAGAAGTCGGCTGCAGCAATTGCTGCCGAGGTTGCAGATAAGCTTGCGGCTTCTTCCTCTTCCCAATTGATCATGACTTCTGTTCTCTCAACATTTGCAGCTGAAGAGGCAAAAAATGCTGGTCTCTCTTCTGCGTCCTCCTCAAACCCTGATAAGTCGACACCTGAGTCAGATCCCAATGCTTTTAGGTCTACACAGAAGATGGTGCCTGCACCTAGTCATTCATTTACTTCAGTTATGGTGGCCCAACCAACAATGCAAAATCAAGCCCCTGCATCACAAGGTCAATATCATTTACTTGGTAATCCCACGTCGCAGCAGTATATGCAATCAACAGCAGTAATCCCTGGTTATGGGTATGGAAGCGTCCCTCCCTTAGCACCCAGACCACCCCCACCCCCACCTCCCCCACACATGGTGGGGCCAGTAATGCCTATAGCACATCAGACACTGCAAATGAGCCAGCATCAACCTGCGCCTGTAAACCAGCATCAACCAATAACAATGTCGCAGCAAGCCCCAGTGCCTCCTAGTTTCCGGCCTCTCCAGCCGCCAGGAATGGTATATTATGGTAATCACCACCATTCTTTATGAGGCTTACGGTGGGTAGACTAATTAAAATGACCTTGTTTAAATTAAGAGCAATCTCTGGAGATTTTGGAATTTTATGTATGCCAATGGTCGTACCTGCGATTGAGCTTTTATGGGATAGACCGAAAAAGGAGCTAACCCATTACACGATTCTAAATACATGAATTTGGTTGGGCGAGTGAGGAGGGTTCACAAAACCAGAGTGCTAGTCTCCCAAACTAGGAAAAACAAAACAAGAGAAGGATTTTTGTATCAAAAGATTGGGATGAGTTTCAATTTTGTTTGAAATATTTATTTTGTATAAATTTCATCATATACATGTTTATAAAAAAATTTCAGTTTCAAGGGGAACTTAAATGGTAAGGATATCATGTCATCTTCAGGTGAGAAAAACCTGCATGATGGACGCTGACGATGCGGCTTCGTAGTACCCGTGCTAATTTCAGAGTCAGATGAACTTCTTTTTTTTTTTTAATTAATCCCCTCTAAAAGTCGAGTTAGACTTAAAGTGGTATTTAAAGGCTTCTAAGGGTTATAAAAGTTCAATGTTCATTCAAACTGACTTTTTTGGACAAGAACATGTCTAAATACAAGTCACGTTATAATAATTGATTTTTATTTCAATTTCATATTGTAAAATATAATTGGAGTAAAAGTTAAACCTTTAGTCTAAACAAATCCTAAGTTTTGTTAAGGCAGAAAAATTACAATTGTTGGGGTGAATAATCTTAATGTAATATATTTGTAGACAATACAATATGCAGGTACGTGCAGGCCAAAAAATAATACACAAGTATAATAGTTGAATTACTGTTGCATGACGGCCAAAAAATTAATGTCTTGTCATCAGTTAATTTTATTAATTACATTAGAAAAATGAATATAACTTGTAATTAATTTAATATTACGTAATTCGACAGATGCATCCAAACGGGAGTTACATCAAATCATGAGACTTGACTTTTTTAAAAACAAAATTAGAATTCAAATCTTACAAGTGGAAAAGAATATTAAAAAATAATGCAAGGAGAACTACTCCCTTAAGCTCCAAAATTTCTTATTAACCACTTTTCAAAATTATTAAGTAATGTGATTCCCAACAGCTTAAAAGACACGTATGATTTACTTAAAAAAAACTAAAATTAAAGACTAGAAAAACCGTAAAATTCAAAATGATGATATTTTTCTAAATATGAAAAACTAGAGCTGATCGAGTTTAAGAGGTACAAATGCGGCCTGTATTATTAATGAAAGGCAATGCCATTTAAAGCAGTCTATATTATCCTTTCTAATCCTCAATCCAATATAATTATTTTCTGCATAATTTGTCTCTTTTTTGGGTAATGTTCTTCTCATCAAAACCAACATGAAGCTCAACAATTCATTGCTTTCCTCAAAAGAAAATCCTTAACACAGATTGGCATATGGTACATAATAGCCATGATGGTTGAGTAGTGACCAGAAGAGAACCATGCAGGTGGGTTCTTCTTGAGGATAGTGGCCACAGTGTTTTTAGCAAACTCATCCGTAGGGGTGGACTTGGATCTTTGTGGAAAATGAGCTCTCTCTCGAATCGCTGCTTCAAATGGCTTAAACAACTTCCATTCAGGCATTCGGTTGTAGCTGGCTACTGCAGAATTCCCAATATTTGACTTGATAGCTCCGGGCACAACGTTCACAACATCAATTCCAAAATGACTCAGTTCCAATCTGTGCATGTTTTGAATAAACAACGGCAAATATAAAATACCAAACACACAAAAGTCAAGGAACAATTCAATTTAATATGTGGATCAAAGAAAAAAGTTCAATGGGTGAGCAGATGATATAACATCATAGTCCTTCAAATTCCATCCAACAAAGTACAGCTTTTCTTGAATAAATTTGCATTTTCCTTGAAGCCTAACGACTTAAAGCGTGTACAAGACTACATGAACAATGATTTTCCATCACAAATATTCTAGTTATGTTTCGTTCGAGACGATCAAAACTATTGTTTTTCTAACTACTTGCTTCCACAATTGAATCGATTATTTCTGATATGCGACCAAACATATACTAAGTTTTAGCAAAGATTGCAGCTTCTTTGAACCCTGACGAAGTCTAGGAACAACTTTATGAACAACTCAAAGCATGCACATAACTGCATGAACGGTTGTTTTCTGTCACCAATTCTCTTGCCACTAATTTTATGCAAGAAAGATCAATTCTCAGAGCAAGCTAAGACTGCAGATTTGAAGCATATGCAAACCTGAGAGTATCAGTCAAAGCATGAAGAGCAGCTTTGGAAGCAGTGTAAGTGCCTGACCATGGTCCAGCGGCCATAGCAGCAACACTACCAACGTTTACGATCTTCCCCTTTTTCCTATTCGCCATGTGTGGAACAACAGCTTGAACCATTCTCAATGAACCTGCATTTGTTCGTAAAATATACAAAAACTTGGTAACTGTATGAAATTAAGGGTAAGAATAACCAATTGATACTCCTATTTCAGCATTACATTGAGGTGTTCGCACGGAAAACCATAAGATTCATCTTATAATAGCTTCCTTCTTTAGTTGTCTTATCCCGCGCCAAAAAAAAAAAGAAAGAAAAAAAGAAACACTAACAACGATTACCAAAGTCAAATCCCTAATTCAGATTAAAGGAAGAAAATGATAGAATTTGGTCAGTTCATTTGTCATTGTCACCGTGAACTCGATGATAATATAATATCGAAATTCCGGATCCACAAAACCAAACGACGATTGAAATAGAAAAAGCTCGTGAAATTGACACGAACCATACACATTGGTATCGAAAGTTTGCTGGACGGCGGAGAGAGGAACCTCGGCAAGTGGACCAACGCACTGAATTCCGGCATTATTCACCAAAACATCGACACGGCCATACTTGTCCAGAACATTCTTCACCGCTCGTTGGACGCTCTGATCTGACTGAACATCGAGCTCCTGCAAGAAGAACCTGGGATCTTGCTCCAGGTCGGCCATGGATGACCGTGACCTGCTTGCGGCAACCACCGTACACTTGTTGGCGGCGAATGCGCGTGCCAGCGCGTGTCCAATTCCTCCTTGAGAACAGCCGGTGATGAGAACCACCGGTTGCTCTTGGAGTCCCAATTCTTCAGAATTCTCCATGATTTTAGAGCTCTAAACTGATACGTTCGTCCTTTAACCAGAAAACCAACAAAAGGAGAAATTGCACTCTGCAGACCCACACTTCATCGCTAATCATCCAATTCCTGGCGCTCTATTGGTGGCAAGAAATTTTTTGTTTTTTAAAAATCAATTACGGCCTGAAATTTATTGATTGATAAGAAACGAAAGAGGATACAAGATGTCTGCTCTGTCGACTGTCGTTGTACCAACAAATGCCACGTGGTTTAGAGTAGAGATGGCGCTAATCCCGGATGGGCCTAGACGAGAACAGGCCTTGTGTCATGGACTAACTCTTTGAAGCTGATATGTCTGGGCCAACTGAAAGCCCGTTTTCTCGAGCTTGTAAAGCCTACCATAATATCATTTCCTTGGCCCCCCAAAAACTTATGTACCATCAAAAATTAGATGTTCGAATCGTCACTTAGTACTCTCTCCGGTTTTAGATACAAGACTCAAATGGGTCTTATTAGTATCTGACAATATAATTGTATCAAAAAAAAAAATATGACAATATATTAAATAAAATTATCTCTAATAAAGAATACTAAAACAACTTAATATACCTTTTATAAAAATTCACAAACCTATACTTCCCAAAAAAAAAAAAAGTTAAAGGAGACGTTTAGTGTCATTGGACTGCAAAATCCTAACAACTTAAGTACCAGTATGAATTATTGCCGTCATTACTACTCTTTTAATCCTTAATATAAAACTTACTTAAATAATATGAATTAATTAAGAAATTTAAATAAATAAGTAAATTATAACTCTCTAAAATACTCCTACATAACGCCTTATTATATTATATTATTTCACAGGGTAAGCAAATTAATTTAAATAATAATAATAAATATGAGATCAAAATAGATTAAGGTTGTTTTATCTTTAGGAAGTGACCGAAGAGATATGTTGAATCTATATTATATTCGCATATTTCTTTTCTTTTTTTTTTGCCAACGCAAAATTTTTCAAACTTGACATATCGTACTAATAATAGATATATATATATGTGTGTGTGTGTGTACGCGCTCATATGTCGACATCTTTGATGTTTTGCGTAGAAAAATATAAAGCTTAAATGGAATAATAAACCAAATTAAAGCTCCAAATATAGTCAAACGTTAAGCAATTACTCCCTCTGCTCTCTATTATAAACTTGAAATAACTAATTTGGACATAACAAAAATTAGATAAAATTAGTTAAGAGCAATAACTAGGTAAAATATACTTTTGTTTTTAAATATGTCATTATAATAAATAAGAAAAAGGATGAAAGAAAATCTGATGACAGGGTGTGGCAAATGAGAGAATAAATAATTAAGGGTAAAATTAAAAAAAAAATTAAATGTTGAGACAAATCTAAATTAAAACTTATAAAATAGACCACATCACTTTTTATATTTAAAGCTTATAAATAGGACTAAAGGGAATACTAACTAAGCATAAAACCACAAGTGACTTGATAATAAACCTAGCTAGATTTAAGGAATTTAGCAATTCATGTACGGTCTTTAACACCAAATCAAAATTAATAATTTAATATAAATACATAAAAGCAAAGCAAAAAAGAGTAGTAGTAGTAGTAAAAACAGAGACTTGTGTTGAAACCTGACTAGCAAGTTTTCAGTGAGCCTAGGAAATTAACCCTATAGTTTGAAGTAATATGAAAACTTGTATTTTTTTTTTTTGTGAGTTAGTGGAAAAGATCTATTGAAATCTCTTGATAGGATTGAATGTAGATTATTGGGTCCAAATCTCATACAGGGCCAAGTACTAATGTGTATACTATATGGTCCTCTACTCATGTTATTTGGTTTACTTATTATTTCTAGTCTTAAATATAAGATTTAATTTGTAGTATTAGTTACGTTATAAACTAAATCTTATATTTAAGATTGGAAATAGTAACTAATTAGCTTTAGTGTTGTTTTAGTCCAGCAGACCATAACAATATTAAGCTGCTTACTTACTATTCCACAATTTAATGTTGAAATTTAATTCATGTATAAATCAGTTATTCATCTGCTCTCATTTATCACTAATTAAAAATCTCATGATAGTCTTTCAGTCCTAAATATAAGACTTATTTTTAGGACTAGAGAAATATTAATTAAATGCTAGTGCT